TAGCAAATAAACATATGAAAAAATGTGTAACATTTCTGGTCATTCAAGAGATGCAAATGAAAACAATGCTGAGATTCCACCTCTCTCCAGAAAGGATGGCTACTATCATGAATTCAACCAATAATAAATGTTGGTGGGGCTATGCAGAAAGAGGAACCCTGCTCCACTGCTGGTGGGAGTGTAGACTGGTGCAACTACTATGGAAATCATTATGTTGATACCTCAAAAAACTAGGACTGGAAGTCCCATTTGACTCTGCTATTCCCCTGCTGGGTATCTTCCCCAAAGAATTAAAAGAATCATACCACAGTGATATATGTGCATCCATGTTCATAGCAGCACAATTTGTAATAGCTAAAACTTGGAACCAGCCCAAATGCCCACCAACTGGATACTGGATAAAGAAAGTGTGTTTTTTTTTAATAAAATGTGGTACTACTCACTCATAAAAAAAAAATGAGAAATTAGAGACATTTACAGCTAAATGGATGCACATTGAGGCAATACTCTTAAGTGAAATAAATAGGACAAACATGTTTAAATACCAAATATTTTCTCTAGTGTGAGAAACTGAAAGTGTAAATAAGGACTAAAAGTTATAATAGATAATGTGAAATAGGAAGAAAAGGGGCTAAGGGGAGGGGGGAGTGGGAGGGATATGGGAAAGGAAAGAAGGGAATGGAATATGAGAAAATGGAAAAATGGAATCAAAGTTTTTGTAAATAGGGAGGGATGGAGGTGTTGAAGGGAAGGCAGGGGAAGGGGGAAAATAAGGACCAAGAGAGATTATGTAAAGGTGCAAATTTCCAATGATGAATGTCATTATATTGTATACCTAAAATATATCAATGATTAAGATGAATAATTGATAATGTGAAATAGGAAGAAAAGGTCCAAAGGTGTAGGGGAAGTGGAAGGGGTAGGGGAAAGGAAAGAAGGGAAAAGAAAAATGATGAGAAATGGAAAAAATGGAGACAAAGTCTTTGTAACTAGGGAAGGGTGGAGGGGGTGAAGGGAGGTCTGGGAATGGGGAAAAAATAAGAATCAAGGCACGTTATGTAAAGGTACCAGTCCCCAATGAGAAATGTAAATGTATTGTATACCTAAAATATACCAATAAAATAATTTAAGGAAAAAAAAAAACATCAAATAGTAAACACTTTAAAATGCAGAAAATGATGACCTTGAAAGTGTGGTATATACATAGATTATGGAAACTGTTCCATTTTCTCATCCACAGGTTTAAACACTACAAATACATCATGCCTTCTTTAAGAAAGGGCATAAATACAAGTAATTCCTAGGGGAAGAACTACGTTTTATTAAATAAAGTTGCTGTAGAAACAACCAGAGAGGAAGTTAAAATATAAGAGTTTTGACATTAGGGTAAGAAACATGATTTTCCAGGTTATACACTGAAAGTAACTTATTGTGTGCTTGGAAAGATCTCTTGTGAGTAGACTTTTGAGCCAGTTTGTCATATCAAAAGGAAAGACTCTCTCAGGTTATGTTTTTTCAAAATGAAAACAAGTATCTGGAGAGATGTGTTATGGCAGTGATCTACGTAGAGAACAGGAAGCTGCAGATACTGAAGTACCATCTGGAAGGTTTTAGGATGTGCTGATTTGGGAATCTGAAGAAAGACCACATTAATAGATTGGGCATACATAACATGGAGTAATAGTTAAAGAGCCGAGGAAAACCTTAACCATCCTATTAATTCCTTAACCATACTGTTAATTCTCTAGGAATTTTCAAAGTAGGGTGGTAGGTTGACTTTCATACTAGCCAATCCTAAAGGACACCTCTGTTAGCGATCACTGTGTCTCCTGAGAGTCACTCTGTCTTTGTTGTCTCTATATCTCCTAAACTTTGAAAGCTGTACCTTTGAAAACTGCTTAGAAATTTGGTGTGTTCTAACCACAAAAATAATAACTATGTGAGGTTATGCATATGACTATTAGCTATACTTTAGTCATTCTGTGAGTGTATACAGTCATGTGTCCTTTAAAGATATATTCTGAAAGAAGCTTCTTTAGGTGTTCTCACTGTGGTGAGAAGAACATAGAGCAGGGCCGGGGATTTAGCTCAGTGGTTCTGCCACCTGCCTTGCAAGCCCAAGGACCCAAGTTTGATCCCTGGTACCAAAAAAATAAAAAATAAAAAAAAAAAATAACATAGAGCACACCTCTGCAAGCCCAGATCACAAGCCATGTAGTTTCTGAGTCAATCAAGAAATTAGGTATAAGGTGTTGGAGGCTGCTACTGGTGTAACAGACCATTATGTTTTATAGTACACTTGTTTATAAGAATATAATACACTTATTGTATAAAGATTATACAATTTAATATAATGATAAAACATACGCAATAACCACATAAGCCAGAAATGCACGCATTTTTAATCATTGTCAAGTATCTTATGCCATACTAAATTGTGTGTATGTGTGTGCTATACTTTTATACAACTGGCAGCACAATAAATTTTTCCTGCAGGCAAGCCCTCTGTTTTCTAGGTTACAACTTTCTTTAAGATGGAAACAGGATGCTACAACCAAAATACTGAGGTTCTTATTACAGAAAGTCCCCATTAGGAATGAGTTCTGTTCTGGGAGAAGGTTTGTGAGTCAGACTGGCTCACAATCTGACAAAGTAAGCCTTATACAATACACCTATAAATCTTATAAAGTACACCTGTGAGTCTTATACAGTACACCTGTGAAAGTTCCCAACTCAAATGTTCATAAGTCAGGGACTTTCTGTAGTAGGCTTTCTTCTTTGCTTCACTTTTATTTCTTGGTAATGGATGTGAAAGTCCGTCTTACATGTGCTAACCAGATACTCTACTACTGAGCTACATACCACCTCATTTGCTTGATTTTTAATTGCATAGTCCTCTCCTTTCTAGAATAAGCAGCTATTTAAAGAGATGGTATTATTAGTATGTGTTCAAATCCAATGTCATCTTGTACCGTAAGCCACAACTCTTTTACAACTCTCACAGTTACTGCAGAGACTTCTGGCCTCATCAGCACCATGTTTCAACACTTTGTCCCTGTCTGCACACTACTTCCCACTACCCTGTGTCCAAGATAAATTATAAAACTCAAACTGTCCATTGTGTTGGATTGTAGCTAAATGAAATCCTATTCTTCATTGCATTCCTGGGCATTATACAAAATCAAGCAATTTGAACATCTTTAAACATCTTATCAGAGTTAAAGACAATCTTTTTCCTGCATATTAGTGTTACTCTTTTAAAGTAATATTGTGATGTTTCCAATCTAGAATGATTTTTAAATAATTTTAACAACTTAGAGAGATCTCATTACCCTTATAAAACATATCATTGAAATATATTTATACATATGTAGAATGCTTTCTGTAAATAATTTGATCAAATTTTTCAAAAAAATATTTATTTCATCAACAGAGTCTCCAGTGGCCCTGAGAGACTGGGTGAGCCTTTATGAAATTCTCGTGTTTTCTAACAAATGCCAGACTCCATCATTTTTTCCCTTTTTCTAAAATGACTAGAGTTACAATTTTCTTTTCATGTCTGTGCTACTACTTTGATTTACCATCAGCCTAAATATGTGGAAAAGCTAAAATAGATAGAGGGCTAATACTCAACACCAACCAACTGAAATGAAAACACATACACACATGTAGTATTTGTTATCAGGTTCATCTGAGCAAGCAGAATGGAACATTAACTTCAACCTCCTCACCTCACTGAGCCTGGGCTAAAGCTTTCAAATGCAGTGTGATTTTGAACTCCATTAGTTTTTTATGCTCAGGCTGTGAGAAGATTCATTCTCATGCAAGGTCTGTAACTGGTTGCTAATAAAATCCAACCCTGACAAATAAATGGACTGTAATATAACCTGCTTCAGGGCAGTGAAATCTCAACCACTCAAATATGATCTGTAGCAGAGCAGTATGCAGCTTACTACTGTTTCCACAGCAATTCTGCAAAATGTGGCTCTATCCTTCTACTTGTCCAAATTTCTCCATTAATGAACTTAACACCACAGAACATCTGCCATAGAATTTTGTATCATTTTGTTATGATTTATAAAATAAGTTTGAACAAAACAGCTATTAAGTTTAATACAAAGGTCCTATTAGAGCAGTGCAAACAAAAGTTTAATTTTTTTGTATTAAACAACATGACAAATCCTCAGATAAAGCATATAATTCTACTTAACAAGCTGATACACAAAGCTTTCTTTCTCTTGTATTTTTATTTGTGCACTAGAACAAAATAATATCACTATCAAAGAAAATAGTAGTATCTACTTCTTTGAAGTGTATCATTATAATTTTCTAAAATATGAAATACGTAATAAGAGAGTGTGAGATAAGTATGGAAAAGATTATGCAGACAGAGAGAGAAGGAACAGAAATTGACAGAGTATATCCTATTTCATTTTCTTCTTTACTTTTCTCTCAGGCATGCTGTGAGGATCAAATGAGAGAATGTTTGCAAAATTGTGTTACATATTATAAAACAATAGAAGGATGAAAGCTAGTATTTTTGCCCAATAAAATATAGTTAGTCCTTAATAGATGTGATCATTTACTAAATTCCATATTAGCTATAAATCTAACACCATAAAATATAACCACATTCCAAAAGAAAAAGAGTATGAAAACATAATTTATATTAGGGTATTTATATTATGCTCATAGTTATAAATGATAATCTTTATCTGTCTGATAAAGATTTTTCTGAAAAATTTTTCTAAAGATCTTTCTGAATAGTTCAGTTGATACTCATTACTGGTAAGCTTTGCTCTAGCTTCTCTCTAGCTTCCTAGGAACCGTCCTATTATAATTTCACTTTGGGCCAGAGTTCTGAACATGATTCAGTTTAGAATTGTGTGACATTTTCTTCACTGATGAAGTGACAACAAATAGTGGATTCGTCTTAAACAAAGCAGCATTCATGAAGAATGAACACATATGGGGGTGAAAACAGACAAGAAGCATAAACATAGGGGATGTGAAATATCAGGTAGTTTATTTATAGCAGGTTTTCTATGAGAAGGAAGAAGTAGAGCAGATTAGGAAGGAGGAGGCAACATTCAAGCACAGAGGAATTTATGTGATATCTGTACAAGATCATCAGGTCCTTCTGTAGTCTTGCTGGACAAGTAGACAGGCCCTAAGGGAGGTTGATAAGAAGTGAAGTCAGAAATCATGTAAAGGCCCATGATCTTGGAACCTGTTGCAGTGCAAAAACAAACAAAGCTTAGTTTTATTATTTCAGTTTACTTGAAAGCACTAGATGTGATCTTGCCTGGGTCATTAACATCTCCCATTTTCAGTGTTCTCGGCTGTGATATGAAAATAATAATTGCATCAATGACCCTGACGAGCTTCTCATAGTTAATAGCCTTTGCGATGCTTAATTCTATGTCTCAAGTTGACTTGACCCTGAGATATCCATATACCTGGTAAAACATTATTTCTGGGTGTGTTGGTAAGGGTAGTTTTAGAAGAGAGAGGTAGTATGGCAGTGTGCTTCATAGTGACGTATAATTAATTGATGGATAGTATATCTGATAGAGTTCTACAAAACATTATCAACTAGTAACATCATAGATGTCTTAGTTTATGTAAGTACATTCTGATATTTGCAAAGAGGTAATATTGCCAAATGATGCACTTCTCAGAAGTTCTTCCCATCATTAAGGGATGTAAGACTGCATTTGGATAGGTATAAAACAAATGCCTCACTCCCACACTAATGTGAATGTGCATCATCCAATCTTTGAGGGTCTGAACAGAACAAAAGGCAATGGAAAATTTAGTTTACTTTCTGCCTTACTGAGCTAAAACATGGATTTTCCCTGCTTTTACCACTCCTTGTTCTGAAGGCTTCAAGTTATACCACTGGCTTCCCTGGGCTTCCAGCTTGCCAGTAGCAAATTAGAGTGCTCAGCCTCCACAATCATGTGAGTCAATAGCTTATAATAAATCTATCTATCCATGCCAGTTTTTGTGTTTCTCCAGAAAAAATTGACTAATACTTCCATCATTAAATAAAAAGTGAAACACTCACACAGAGTTCATGGAAGACAAAAGTTATATGGATAATAACTCTCCAACCAGATCATTAAGGTCATTAATTATTTAATCACATATGAATTATAGGATGTAGTAGTTACTTTACTAAGAAGTTTTTCAAAGTTAAATAAATTGTATATTAGAAGAAAAATAAACTTAGTTATTCAGAAATATCTTCAAATCTAGGCCTCTCAATACTTGTATATTTTATACAAATTATTTACTTTAATTGGCCTTAAAAAAATGATTATATTGAGTACTCTTTTGCTAAAAATATGAGGAAAAATGAGCCAAGCAATGAAAACAGACATATTCATGGAAGGGACATGATGTATTTAATTTGCTTCCCCTCTATTTGAATTAAAGAAGCCATAGGAGAAAATGTTACCTCAGATGTAGCAGACTCCTCTGCCCAGTATTAGCAGGCTATAGTGGCACAAGCTTCTTCCCTCTCCATAATTCGGCTGTGACACATTGGAAGTAGCAGAGCTTGGCTGAGTTCACTCCCAGTCAAGGTCAACTGAGTCCAGCTAAATTCTTCCCCTCCGAATTAATCATTTGTTCTCTTCAGCAAAGATATGGTTGTCCTCTCATTCTACAGTCCTGCCTGCTTGATACTTGTTATCAGCAGATGTCCCAAGGCCTGGCCAGCTTCCCCCCTTCCCACACTTGTAATGAATAAACACTGGATGTCCTGAGAGCTCTATGTCTTTGCTGCCCAGAGTGGCTTAGATCAGCCCAAGACTCAGTTTCTCTCAAGTATCTGTCTCTGTGTTTATTTTAATTCCCACTTTCCTATCTCTCGGACATTGTACTGGCTTGCAGGAGGCCAGTACCACTTCAGGGGCCTCTGGCAATGTTCCATTACCCTTTCCCTATACTCAAAAGCTTTCATTTATATTTGTACAGAAAGAGTAAGGCTAGATATAATGGATATAAGGCTAAAACACTGGTTAGTATACAATATTCCCATGTACACACACACACACATACACATATACTTATTCATTCTATTTAAAGTAAAGGATAATAAACAGAAGAATAAACACTAGAATGGAAAAGTCTGTTAGAAGGGAGATATATTGACATTTTGTTCCTTGGAGAAGCTGCTTGATCCATAGTCATATATCAACATGGACCTTGATGATTTGAAGTCCAGTGAATATGAAGACAGATTGGAGTATTTCTAAAAGAATTTAAAAGTATCCATCACAGAAAACTGATTCACTTCCTTCAAACAAAAAAGTAAGAAGTCTATTTTCAGACCTTCATTAGTCTGAAAATTTGAGGTCACTTAAGTGCATTTGAAGATATTATTTTCCAGAACTCTACTTCAGCAAAGGTTTTTGGAAGGGAGCCAGGAAAAAACATAGAAGAGTTCTTTTGTATATCTTTTGTTCACTTCAGTCACCAGCAATATCCATACTATTTTTCCAGAAAAATACATGATACATTTGAACAGTTCTGGAATGCTCTACATAGAAAAATTATTCCTAAAATGTTATCAGATTATAATCTAAAGTACTTTATAAAAATCATTTATAAATTTTTGTAGCAGTCTTTTGTAATTTAGGGTTTTTTTTTTTTTTACAAAAGATCCTAAATTAACTGGGTTGAGAACAAAAGGAATAGCATATTAATGCCTAAATGCTACCACTGAAAAGGTGGTGAAAGGTGGTACTTTAAAATGAAGAAGTAGTAGCTTTGAGGACTGCTGTACAGTGAGCTGCCACTGTTAGGATTGGTCCTATTTATAACTGGACTTAGATTTATTTATTAGTCTTGCTTTAGGTAATCACAGTTTGTCAGACCATAATCTATAATCATTTAGTTTAATAGACGGCAAACTCCTGCAGAAACAAACTGTCTTTATTTACTTGACAGTGAGTTCTCCACTAGTGTTTAGTGAATGAGTGACAGACAACATATAAGAAGCACCTGCCATATGAATTTTGTATTAAGATGTTCATTTTTCCAGCTTATAAATACATTATGAATTAGCTTTGAAGAGTAGATATGTGCATATAAGAAATAAGGCAGTGATCAAATGCTAAACCAAATGCCTTAGAACATCCTTGTTTATGAAAGACTATATATTATGTAATTTGGATTAGTGGATTTTGTTTATGCATGAAACAATGAATTGTACACTAGGTTGTGTCTGAAATTTTACACACACACACACACATCTTTACTCAAATAACAGTTGTAAATAAAGTAGATTCTCTTTTCAACTGTGAGCTTTCACAGGCTAGTATAAAATGGATCATGCACTTGCTCATTTACTAGTTTAATGGTATTGTGACAGATGTTTAAGCTCTCTAGGGTCAAATGTTAGAAAATAAAATATTTAGAGCAGATATTTGTGATTCACTCACAAGCATCCTTTAATGTTTTTCTCCATTGGCCTCTACATCTAGAAAGAACTTGCTACTAATCTACATTTATCAAGCAATAAGTGCTTTATTTTCCTAGATATTTAAATATAAAGCACATACATTTTAATGCATAATTTGTGCTATTATACAAACAGAACTTTTCTTCTCCCAGAAACTGGAAACCATTTTTTTTTCCTTTCGGTACCAGGGATCAAACTCAGGACCTTGCGCTTGTGAGGCAGGAGACAGAACCACTGAGCTAAATCCATGGCCCTGGAAACCATTTGTACAAACATGATTGTTTAACTATTTAGCTAGCTACAGCAAGTTTTCTGTTACACTCTATTTCTAACTGTACTCTATCTTACAGGCTGTTTTCAAAAGCCAAGCCAACTTGTATATTCACAATTACCCTCCAACCATAGCTTCTGAATATTCTCAGAATGAATAGGATGAAGACTCATTTGAAAATGCAAAGAATCTATGGATAGACTTTATCAGGGGTATTGTAACACTGATACTACTAAATTCTAAAATTTTATAGGTACAGGAATATGAAAAGTGGAATAAATATATAATATATTTTCAAAAGATGACAGCCTTATTAATTTGTTTAAATTTTGAACACCAATGCCATATACGTTATTATACTAAAAATGTGGAGTTTTGCATAAGTTCACCATTTCAGTTATTCACAGTATAAGCAAATGACCATTTCCTTAGATAGGGAAAAATGGCTCCACTGTTGAAATCTTTGTAATTTAGACTTTAATATAATAATAGACAGTAACTGTTCATAATGCAATTTAAAATTGCACTAGAATTAATTGAAAAGTCATAAACTTGCATTTAACGAAGGACTGAATGATAATCTATTTACACTTCATTTTTCATATTCAAATAACCATACAGGAATGTCACTATTAGTTCTTTAAAGCATATTTCAAATCTAAGCACATAAAGATAAAAATACCACATTTTATTTAAACTGTTTTAATATGTTGCTAGTTGCATGTTCATGCAAATATAAATACACACTACCACCATGACATTAAGGAGCCAAAAAACATGTCTACATATGTGCTACTATTTGTATTTCTTCAATTTATCCCAAGTAAATAGTAGAATACACCCTATAGGATAATAGAATTTGGCTTAATAAAGAAAACTTATTTCAGCCTCACAGTCTTCTTTTGCAGATATCACTACATTTTAAGTTCCAGTAGAATCACTTTGCTCTATAATGGCTTCTTTCAATAGTCTTCTATAGTAAAACCTGAGCATTGACTCAAGGATGAAAATTGAATTTCCCTAGAAGTACAATGTGGTAGATATTATTATGGCTTCTCCAGTATAGATTTAATGATGATGAAATTTGTATGCTGTAATAAAAAGACAGGACCAAAAATCTAGCATCCTATAAATATAAGATTCTTGGTATTATGGATAATACAATGCAAGCTCACCCCAAATTCCATAATGTTTTTAAACAAAGCAAGTATTCTATGCCTGTATTTATTCACCTTCATAATGAAGAGTTGAATGAATTGCCCCTTTACTACTCTAGATCTAACATTTTGTCTAAGCATACTTTTTTATCATAATGTAATAGCTTTTATTCTCCCTGTTAGTCTTTTTGTACCCAGGATGTAGCAGAATTTATTCTTTCCTTTCTTTTTCTCTTTTTGTTATTCTTATTTTCCTTAAATTGTTCAGATAAAATGGTATTTTTCATATAAAATATGGTTTGGAAATACTCATCCACTGTGAAATCCTTAAATCAACCCAATTAACACATGGACTATTCATGTAGTTTCTAAGAATGTCTTATTACCTAGATTGGATAAAGGGTTGGTTTATAATCACGGAGGAAGATAAATTCCATCCTATACTATTCCTGCTTAGAGTACAACAAATAATTTCCCATTAAAATGTATCATTGTACTATCTTCTAGTTTAAATAAATACTCATTTTTCCAATCACATAATTATTCCCCATGATTTGTGTTCAACAGCTTTTACTAAATGTATTAAATTACACCATATGAAAAGATTAACAGGTATTCACAGACTCTCTTGGATGAATGTAAAAACTTGTGCTGATTTAGCCAGTATCTTACAAGTGACAGGAAGCAAAGAAAAAACAAACTGAGAATATACCTTCCATTCTGGTCCCTGAGTTTAACTGTTAGGTGAAAGTTACCTTTTCTCTCTTTCCACAGTACACACACTGGATAAAAGAAATGCTCTTTGACAGTACAGCCTCTCTCTGTGCTCACTTCAGCTATGTAAATACAAGGAAGCTGTGAAAGACAGGTCAGAAACAAAGCCTCCATCTATCACTCTTTTAGCTCCTCAAGCAGATGCTTATAGCTCCCTGGCTGGAAGCTATTTCAGTTTTCCTTTCAAGGCTTTCATTCCCCTAAGATTATGTGCATGTGACCCACACTGGGAAATGCCACTGTAAGTGTCATGGGAAGAAGTATTTCAGAAATGTTTCAGGAAGAAGAAGCAAAGATATTAAAATCATCTTTCTTGTTGTGGTGGTGATTTTGCACCCTTTCCCTCAAGCCCTATAAGAAAATGTAAATGGGAAATCATTCTGTACACTGGCATGGCAAGGACCTGGCAGACAACATAGAAGAGTAATGAACCAAGGACACACTCCATAGCAAGGTTATTTACTGGAGGTTTCATAGCACATAAATTTTATTTATTTTTAGAGAGAAAACAAAGCTTCTGAGAGGGGTTTTTTTTCCTGTTTTTATGATGTAAGACCAAATGATTTAATCAAAATGATGCATTTAGACCAAATGGTAAAAATGCAATTTTTATAGGCAAAGCACTTTTTAATACTCAGTTTCATTTAGAAAAATAACCTGTAAACCTCCCACATATTATGCTGTTATATTTAATAAAGATGTAAATTATACCTATAAGCCAGATGTGTTTTAATGGTAAAATTACAGTGATAACTTGCTGTTTGATAAACTTCACAATAAAGCAAATTGCACTTGAATTGCTTGTGGACCATAAGAATTTAATGGACATTACTGTCTTTTCAATACAAATTATCTAACTTTTATACAAAGACCACCTTTATGAAATGTAGCAAATATGAATAATGTCATCAGTATCTTGCAGATAGATTTTTGCC